TAGTTAGAACAGGGTTTTGGGGTAGAGTATAGTAAACTGGAACATGGAGGGATGCGACGTGTCATTATTCAGACTCCCATGTTGCTTTACTTAGCGGCCCCTGAATGAAGGATCTTCCTCCTATCATGAGTAACATCACTCTTGCTATGATTAATCGAAAAAATCTTAGTGTTAGTATTGTTCAGGTTCATCTGTTGGGGTCCCCGGCTCTGAAGCAGCAAAGTCCAGGTGGTAAGCCTTGGAACATGAGGGTCTGGATATCTTTGAACCTAGCCACTCTAGGGAGAATTCGGCAACCCCAGGCGCAAAACCCAAAAACCGAAAAAGGCCCGGAATCCTATCGAAACCCTAAACCCTAAACCCTAAACCACCCGACGGCGAAACGCCTTGTGTCAGAGGTGCGCGCAGAGGCTGTGCGAGCGCATTGCTGCCAGGCCGCTGGTTTAGGGTTTAGGGTTTAGGCTCCAAATTTTTGTCCTCTCTCTTTCTGTGCTTTTCTCCCTGTGTTTCTCTCTGTCTTCTTGTCTCTTCCACCTCTCTCTCTCTGTGTCTTTCTCTCCCTCTTTATCTCCTTCCCCTCCTTTCTCTGCTGTCTCTCTCCTCTCTCTCTCTCTCTCTCTCTCTCTCACTCTCAATCTCTCTCTCTCCCTCTCTGTCTGTCTGTCGGAAATGTATCATTTCGGAGCTCACCGTGGGCACGTGAAATCCGAAGATCAGGCCCTAGACTTGCCCAGCAACGTGAAGCCCAACACGAAAGTTTTAGGGTGTCGGGCTTAGGGGTCTAGGGTGTTTAGATCGGAGTTTGGGGCCTGAGGGTTTGGGGTATCTAATCGTACATGATTCAGGTCCCCTTCTGAAACTTAAAGCTAAGATTCCATCCGTATCTAAGGGTAACTGATGTTTAGAATAGTGCATTGGGGTATCTGATGGTGAAGAAAGAGCCCCAAGCACTAGTACGAGCAATCATTCAGGCCCCCATAAAGACCCCTTTGAACCCTAAACAAAAAGATATAGATACCTGATCAAACCCATACTCATGCCTCTCAAGCGATTGTTTAGGCCAGACCCCTTTGTTGAATCCCGTATGCACCCAGGGGCCTGGACGTCGCGACGCAGCCGAAGCTTCTCGTCAAGTGCCTCTGTGGACAAGGCAGACTTAAGGCTTAGGGCTCAGACTTTTGTTTAGGGTTTCGGGTTTAGACTTTTGGATTAAGGGTTTAGATACATTTTTACCCACGATAGGGGACCTGTTGGCTTAGGCGTTAAAATGCTTGCAGTTTAGTCCGGGAAAAAAGACACCAGCTTCGCAGCAGGAAGCACAAGTGCACGCTGAGGGGGTGTAGTGCTACTAAGAAAGAAACCTCTCCATGTTGAACGAGATCGAACCCTAAACCCTAAACCCCACCCTAAACCCCTAAACCCTGAACCCTAAATCGGTGACCTCTTTTCCAAGCTTCTAAAGGAAAGCTGAAGCTTCTGAAGCCTCCGCGCTGAACTTTGAAGAACGCCTTTTCCCCAAATTTCAGGGTGCAAGGTTGATACAAGGGCCTTGATAGTTAGAGTAGGGTTTTTGGGGTTTGTTACACAGGGTGTCCTAGTAGGAAACCCTGAGGAACACCAGTGCTAATTATGTAAGTCCCTATAATTCAGAAGCCCTTACAAATTCGTACAAACATTCTCACTCTATGGAACCATAATCAACTCCTTAGGGGGCTTGAGAAAGGCCTCCGCCAAGCGGTCGAAGTCGTCCGCCGAGTCTAGCTTGGCCTGTATTGTAGGGTTTTTCGGTATCATAGGGGTGTCAAAGGCATTGGAACATTATCAGAGAAACTTTCGACTTAGGGACTGCAGCTTTGGGTTGTGGAAGTTTTCTGAAGAGATAGCGATGAACAGGAAGAGAGAGCGAGAGAGAGAGAGAGAGCGAGAGAGAGAGAGAGAGAGAGAGGGCGTTTGGCATGTTCCAGCCTTTGCGGCCTTGACTTAGAGCTTCGGGTTTATGCAGGGTTTAGGGTTGTTTAGTTCAGGGCCTGGGGCTTAGGGTTCGAGCAAGCAAGCTACAAACCTCGGGCTTGCTAACGAAGACCAGTCAAACAAAAAGCGAGCTATTTGCACCCTAAACCCTAAATCCTAAACCCTAAACCTAAAGCCCCAAAAGCCCCTAAACCCTAAAATTGGTGTATGTAAGTATGCATGTGCATGTATCTGCGCATGCATGTCTACACACAAGCATGCTTCCCTGAGTGATCCGGGGCATAGGAGTTCGGGATCAAGGCTGTGCCGCCCGAAACAAACAAGCTTTGAGGTTCCCGCACATAGCACCGTCCAATATGAACTGGCTAAACCCTGAACTTCTTAAACTTATAGCAACCTTATAGCAACAGTTCTCGTGATTCTGAAAATCGCCCTTGCAGCAACCTTTATGTGCCTTGTACCTTCACCCTGGAACCCACAGCCTAACTGACAAGCGGGTTTTGCAGCGCGGAGCAAGGCCAACTGCGTGGCGGAACAGCTCGGCCGATCACATGGTCTGAGTTAGTCGGAGAATGCCCTAAGCCCCAAACCCTAAGAATATGTGGCTAAGCTGCACTAAGCTCAAGACTCTATGGTCGGTGGGTTTCTTGCTAAGTCTGAACACCCTCACCACGAAGTGACATCCCAGAGCACACCAAAAGGCTTCATGAGCTTCTTCTGCAGGCTAGTAACAATTGGAATCCTGAACACAAACACTAGCCCTGAGTGAGGCAAGCCGGATATCGGTACAAGAAACATAGTTTGTATCTTGATTCCGCGGTACAAACTGACGCACGACATCGCCTTCACAAGCTGCGCCCACCTACGCAACCCCGCTGTTTTAAGACTGGAAGCTGACAAGTGTACTTGTACATGTGGCTACCACCAACCCTAGCACGACAACAAAACTTGCTGCTGCTGCTGCTGCTGCTGCTGCTCCTACGACTACAACGAAAGCGGCGACAACAACAACAGCGGCAAGGGCACAGCAGCAGCAGCAGCAGAAGAAACATGCCACAAAAGCAACACGAAGAAGAACAACAAGCAACAACAACGACAAAAACGACAACAGCAACGGCAGCGGCAAAACACTCTAGCTACTTCTAGCAGCACCATCACCACGACGACGACTACTACTACCATGACTTCTGCTGCCGCTGCGACTACTACTACTACTACT